TTCACCATGTATATGTATATTAAAACATCACATTGGCCAGGCATGGTGGCTCACCCCTGTAATCGCAGCACTTTGGGAGGCCCAGGCAGGCAGATAACAAGGTCAGGAATTAGAGACCAGCCTGGCCAATATGGTGAAACCCCATCTCTACTAAAATACAAAAACTTACCCAGGCATGGTGGCACACGCCTATAGTCCCAGCTACTTGGGAGGCTGAGGCAGAAGAATTGCTTGAACACAGCAGGCGTAGGTTGCAGTGAGCCAAGATCACTCCACTGCACTCCAGACTGGGTGACAGAGTGAGACTCTGTCTCAAAAAAAAAAACAAAAAAAAAAACCCCATCATGGCCAGGCACAGTGGCTCACGCCTGAAATCACAGCATTTTGGGAGGCCGAGGAAGGTGGATCACCAGGTCAGATGTTCGGGACCAGCCCGGCCAACATGGTGAAACCCCGTCTCTACTAAAAACACAAACAAATTAGCTGGGTGTGGTGTTGCGTACCTGTAATCCCAGCTACTCAGGAGGCTGAAGCAGGAGAATCACTTGAACCCAGGAGGTGGAGGTTGCAGTGAGCCGAGATTGCACCACTGCACTCCGGCTGGGATGACAGAGCAAGACTCCATCTCAAAAAAAAAAAAAAAAAAAAAAAAAAAAGAAATTGTGGTGTATAGATGTGTATCAATGGAATATTAGCCCTAAAGAAGATCCTGCTATTTGTGACAACATGGATGAACCTGGAGGGAGGAAATTATGCAAAGTGAAATATATCAGATGTAGACAGAAGAATAATACATGATCTCACTTATACATGGAATTTAAAAAGTCAAATACATAGAAACAGAAATCAGAACAATGGTTAACAGGGGCAGGGAGGTGGGGTATTTGAGGAGATGTTGATCAAAGAGTACAAAGTTTAAGTTGCATAGGATGAATCAAGTCTAGAGATCTAACAAACAGCATCATGACAACAGTTATTCCCCTATCCCCTCGCTGGCAGCCCGGAGGCCACACGATGCCTGAAGTTACTGTAAAAGACGTGAACCAAGCAGGAGTTCGTCAGAGCTCTGGCAGCCTTTCTCAAAACGTCCAGGAAACTGAAAGTCCCTGAATGGGTGAACATCATCAAGCTGGCCAAGCACGAAGAGATTGCTCCCTACGACGAGAAATGGTTCTATACATGAGCTGCTTCCACAATGTGGCACCTGTACTTCTGTGATCTATGGGGGATGTAAGAGAAATAGCGTCATGCCCAGCCACTTCAGCTGAGGCTCCAAGAGTATGGCTGCCGGGTCCTCCAAGCCCTGGAGGGGCTGAAAATAATGGATGGAAAAGGACTAAGATGGAGGCCACAAACTGACACCTCAGGGACAGAAAGATCTGGACAGAATCGCCGGACAGGTGGCAGCTGCCAACAAGAAGCATTAGAACAAACCGCTGGGTTAAAAAATTGCCTCATTCATAAAAATAATAATAATAATAATAATAATAATACTATATTCTAAGCTGGATATTTGGATATTTGCTTTAAAAATTTCAGGTATTCTACACACACACACACACACACACACACACACACAC